GCAAACGACCATGGCCCCTTTGGGATCCAAATGGGGATGCCCGGGGGAGTATTCGGAGATGCTCTGCTTGTGCCAAGGTTTATCCGGATTTGTGCTCTCGCCCTCTCCCCACCACCAGCCTCTCTCACGGACTCACTGAGGATGCTTCTTGTAGACGGAGCCATCCACGCCGACCGTGGACCGCAGCCGGTCCACGCCTTTGTTCTCCTTGATGCGTCGCAGCACGGCTGCCAGGGTGGCCCCGCACAGGTTGGCCGAGCGGGTGGAGCCGATCAGGCAGATGCGGTGGGTGGCCACGCAGTCTTCGTGAGCCGGCTCCAGGCCCAGCTTGCTGAGGATCTCGTGGGCTTTCTGCAGCCCTTCTTTCTCCCTGCGCATCAAAGAACAAACACGGATTCAGGCCTGGAAACCCAACTTTTGCCGTCTTGAGCTGCCCTGGTTTGCTCAGCCCTGGGATGGCTCCTGCTTTCCTCCAGCACAGGTGGCAGGAGATGGGCTGGGACCCCAGGAAACCATCCCGATCCTACTCACTTCTCAATAGCAGAGACATATCTGGTCTCGAAGTGGCCGGTGGTGAGCAGATCGGGGGTGAGCCTTCCTCCAAACAAGAGCCCTTCCTTGGCCATCTTCACCAAGATGAGCCTGACCAGCTCTCCCATGTACATCCCGCTGATCATCTTCTCAAACCTGCCGAAAGGGGAAGCACAAGAGGTGAGGTTTGGGCTGTGTGTGCCGTGAGGTGGCCAAGGGTTGACCTTAAAAACACTTGGCAGCCTTCCAGGCCCAAAATGCAACCTAAGTAATCGCTTTCCAGAGTAGCTCATCCCATCCCTGAGAAGATAAAGCCCCGTTGACATAACCACCGTTCTGCAAGGGGAGCTTATGGCTACCTGAAGGGTAGAGGACTCCCCCCAAACCCCACCCACGCTGCCAGGAGCCGGCTGGGGAACGGGAGATCGGTAGGGCTTGGATGTGGACATTAGGTGGGGGTGTTCGCCTCGGCTGGCACCGGGGAACGAAACAGAAATGAGGACGTTGAGCGCAAGGCTGAGGAGAGAAGCTGGTGTCGAGCGGTTCGGTTGGGCCAACCCAAACTTGTGATGCAGCCCCCACGGTGCGGCTGGTGGAGGACGCGGTGACCTACTTAACTAGGATGACCTCGCTGGTCCCGCTAACGCCGGCGCGCTGGGAGGACGGACAATGAAGAGCAAACCCCGAGCCTGAGCTGAAGCCAAGAATCCGCTTACAATTGTTTGCCAGGGTTGAGCGAGCCCATGTCTATCTCGCGGTCGAACTCCGTCCGGATGTCGTTGAGCACGCCGTCGTCGCCGAAGGCCCCCCACTCCATGTTGATGCACATCCGACCCTCGTCCCCTTCCACCAGGTCGATGTGCCTCATCTCCTCCATGTAACAGGCATTGGTACCGGTACCTGGACCAAGCACAGGGACGTGGTGAGAGGACACGAGGACGCTGCCTTTCCCTTATTATCCCTAATCAGCGACAGCCAAATCATAGAATCACAGAATCACAGAACAATTCAGGTTGGAAAAGCCCCTTGGGATCATCAAGTCCAACCATTGACCCTACACTGCAAGTTCACCCCTAAACCACATCACCCAACACCACATCTAAGCAACAGTTGAACAC